GGGGTCACTGGCTGGGAGCAGGTGGGTGTCGGTCGGCAGGTGGTGAGCAGCTGTATTGTACATTACCTGCTGATAGTGCTGTCAGTGTATTATTCTGTTACTATTATTAAACTGTTTTTATCTCAACCCACGAGTCTCCCTTTGCCTCTCCGATTCCCTTCCCGTTCCCAAGTGGGGGTAGGGTGGGTGAGCGGCTGCGTGGTGTTTAGCTGCTGAGTAGGCTCAAACCACAACAATAACTTACTCTGAATTTCTCCCCTACATTTTTAACAAACTATTTCGAAGTCCAGTGGAGTGATCACAGATAACTTTCTCATGCAAAATGGATACATAGAAATTTATTCTTGAAACAGAAATCTCTTTAAAAGTGTTGAAGCGATTAATGCATACTCCAAATTACAGTCAACTCCAAGTTGTCCCATTACTACATTTCATTCTTGTGAAGAAATACTACTGAAATATGTTTTCTGTTTTAGATATCCACAGCCTTCTAAAACAAAAATTACCATGTCATAAATGCAAGTGGAGATAAGTGTATAGCATATGCAGGCTGCATTTACTACCTTGGCTGCGTGTCATTAATACCAGATTTTGTTTGGCTGCACTAAACCAAACATGAGGCATTCACACCTGTTCCAATATAATCATAACATCTCCAGGCAAAAAATGCAGCAAAATCATGTCTATGTGGAGCCACTTGACAGCCTATCCACAGAGAGATCACAAGTAGTTCTGTGTTAACACACCCAAAGACAAACAAGTGAGTAGCATGTGCAGGCACGTGAGTGATTTCTCTCTGTTTCCCTCCTGTCCCCATCTCAACCACCAGAAATTTTTTGTTCCCTAACGGCTACAGAATGGCACATGCAGGAAAACAGGTATTTGAATTTCAGATCGCATACTAACATACATGAACAACAAAGGAAAAAACCCCTAATCCTTATATTAGAGAATATTGGGATCTAAAAGGGGAAAAATCCACATAAGCCTTCTACATACATCTCCCTCTGTCTGAACCATCAGAAAACAAGGGTACTTTCTTTTCTTTTCCAATGTTCCTGTGCAGTGGGGCTTCTCACCAAACTCATGTCTTGTATCAGTAATAGTCTGAAGTATTTCAAAGGGGGCGAAATAACTGCTGGTGTTTCAAAGAAAATTTGTTCTCAGGAATTCCTGTGAGGTGGAATATCCGGTAAGTTTGGGAGAATAAACATTAAGACCACTGAAATACCAGAATAGTATCTTACTTAAAGGAAAACTTTTAAATATACTAGTGTTTCTGCATCTCTGTTACCAAATCTTTAAAATACTTTGCTCAGTCGGTGTTGCTACAACGCTGCCTTACCCTCCAAGTCCACCCAGCTTTAAGTGCTCACTCCTTACACACCAGCCTGTACTCTGGGCTCCAGTGCAGCTGAGAGGATCCTCTTTTTTCTCCAGCTATTCATCTTGGAAAAGCATACATTTACACAAGGCAGGAGCCAGAAAATTACTGGATGGTGGTCAGTTAAATAAAACACTTGGCACCAATAAGACACATGGGGTACCATAGGTCTTTTCACTTCATGAATTCTCTGCTATATTATTACTAACACAATTACTCTGGGACAGTTGTTGAGCAGTGCAGCACCGACAGCATTGGCTAGAAAGTTCTCAGCTGCACACACACACAAAAAGAAGTCCCTGTCTGCTGCTATAAGGGTTTCACCTTTGATTCCTGAATTGCTGTCAGAAAGTGACAGGCAAAGGACATAAATCCCAGAATGTGTCTGTTCATACTGCCTCACATCACACATGGCAGCGGGACCTCTCCCCAGTGTGAAGAGAGCCGTGATGCCAGTCCTCATCCCTCCCTCCCCATCTCTGCAGATGAATCAGAAAGTGGGGATTTTTTTGGTTATGTTGTTTGTTTCTTTTTTAACATAGTCCTTTTGGCAAATGCCAGCAGGAACCCTCTCTTCCATCAGCCAACATACCACTGCATGATGATGGATTTCCTCACTCCTTCCATTTTCAGTTTTGCCTTTTTTTCTCCCCCACAACTTGATTTCTGTCTTTAATGCTCCATTTTGTCCATGGGGCATTTCATAAAATTTTGTGGCTGCAGGGAGAGTTGCAATCGTAGCAGAACCAGCCAGCCCTAGATTTGAAAATCTCTATTAACAAGTTATACCGCACACCAGCTACGGTTTTATGTACTCTGCACCACCACCACCACCACCCCCCCCCCCCACTCCCGAAACCTGGCTCTTAACCACTTGATTTCCCAGGCGCATGTTCAGAGAAAAGGAGAGACAGGCGAATCGGTCATATCCATCACAGCTGGGATTGGAAACTCTTAAATGGCCCATTTATCATGTGATAAAACACTCTGGCGAAAAAGCCCCCCCTTGCGCGGCAGCCCGCGGGGGGGCGAGCGCTTGCCCCCACGCTCTTCGACCGCTTGAGGCGCGTGTTTCCAAGTCACGAGAGGCAGCAGCGAGCGCAGGTCCCCGGGCGGGTGTTTCTAACCCAATCAGCCCTCCACCCGCGCGTGTTTAAACACAGAAGCTGCCCTAGGCAGGGCGCAGCGGTGGGGTGCCCCCTCCACCCCCCCGCCCCGGCCCTTTGCCTGCTCCGCGGCACCATCTAGCGCCAACGCCCTACCGCATCCAGCCCCGCTTACGCCGAAGTTAGAAACAACGCAAGATAAAGGCCGGTGCATACACACCCAGCCCAGGCAAGGCAACTAATAACCCCTCCACACTTTACTCGTGCTAGGGCCTACTTCTGTCACCCCAATATCAAAACGTTTCAGTCAAGTAATCCGAACTGGTTGCGCACCAGTTAACACCCCAGCAGCGTGCACGGCCACGCTCATGGCCGCTGTTCCCCTCAGACCACAGCAGCCTTGTGTTCCTCACACGTACCCGTGGCCCCGGCGCTGCCCCTCTCTCCCGTCGTGGGCGGGAAATGGCGGCCGGGGGGCCCGAAGGCCGCTCAGCATTTCGGCAGGTGCTCGGGTACCGCACTGGCGCACAGCAACTCCTTCAGGTACTAAGGTAGGGGAAGAGGTGAGCCCAGCTCCTGGGGGTGCTGGCTTCTGCGGACCATTATCTTAGAGATCAATATCCCTGCTCAAATAACCACCAGTCCCACCTGGTTCCCCTCCTGCTCTGGAAAGTTTTAGCTACTTGCACCAATGTTATTACCACTGCTTGTCGCTGGGCTTGGGGTGTCTTCTTTTTTCCATTTCCTACATCCTGAAAACTTCACTACTTATTACAGACCTAGATGATTAAAAAAAATATGTATTTTTTTTTCCAAGAGCATCTTAGTTCTTATCATTTTTACAGCTGCTTATTCACAGCATCCAAACGATGATTCCTGTCACACTAAAGAACTCCAGTGCCAGATTCTTCAGTCTTCAAGTATTCCAACAAGTTTTACTTGAAAACAGTAAACTGTGATTTTTCTGCACTGATGAAGTCTCCAAAGAGTTATAGAGTTCACATCCTTAAATTGTGTAAAGTTCTATGGCTTCTGAAATGTTGAAATGCAGTTGTGTTTCAAACTCCACACTGGACCCAAATGAATAAAGACAGGCTTGCAGTGCACAAAATGCTCTCACGGACAAAAAACACTTTGAAAATCTGACCCAAGTGGTAATATGATTAACTAACTAACAAAAACACAGCAGTGTTAAAATTCACATTTATACTTCAAATGCCCCCACCCTCTTCACTATTTCTATATTAATTCAGCACATACAGAAACCTACTTGTTGTATGTAAATCAGTTTTCATTCAAATGCAAATAGCATCCCTGCTTTAAAAGAAAATTCACTCCCCCCCCCAATCTGTAATAGAATTACAAATTAAAACTTTGGGAGAAAAAAAACTGTATTTATCTATAGAGCTGCTTAAACATACATCATTGACACTTTAGCATATAAGTAAACTGACATAGGTAAAGAATGAATCATTCCAAAACCAAACTAACCTTTCTCTTCACCCCACTCCCAAGTCTTGGTTTTAAATCAGCAAAACCTATGACCTAAGTAGAAATTAAGTCACTTTACACATCTTCTTGCTGGCTGGACAGCAAACACCATTTCTAAAATTATCCTTGCTAGAAATCAATGCTGAATATAGAAATTAATAGCTAGGGCATCCTCCACATTCAACTGACCCTCGGCTGTTTTAGTCTGGGCACCTGTTTTAGCCTCCAGCAGAGCCCAGAGGCACACACAGTGCATCTCTCACAGCTAGCATCGATACTCGGAGGGAGCCAGGTTTGGTACAAGAACCTTTCTCATGTCCCTGCTGCTCCCATTAACATTCTCAGTCCTTTGTGGATTTCAGCATATTCAGGTAAACCTTGGAGCATATCTGTGTGTTCTTCCAGAAGACTTCAAGAGTTTGCTACATGTTTAACCAGCTCAGCTGGGGAAACAAGTGCTTAATCTCTATGGTGAATCTAGGAATCTGTATGTCCTCTCTCATCATTAGAAATACAGTCTTTTTTTAAACCATTTTATGCCTTGCATAATTAGCCAAGATGAAGGAAGACCAAGGACTGGAGAATCATTTCTCTATATTTCATCTTGTTAAAGATGACAAATTCAGGTCTGATGATCACCCAATACAACAATTTTGTTTTCTGAAAACAAGCCTTTGGGAAGTGAAGTGATAACAATGAACCACCAAGACGTTACAATCAGCAGAGGCAAAATACATACATACCTTTTACTCTGAGTGGACAGAATTGCCTAAGACATGTCACCATCTCAAACAATGAAAGCCAGCAGAAAGGTACCAAAAGGTCAACACTCCAGCCTGAGCCAGTAGGTTCCCAGGATTTAGTTCCTGATCCCATAATATACCTGCAATGCCAGATGACAAGATCTGCAGACAGAGAGCCATACACAAAATCTGCTTGAGATTTAAAAATAATATTCATTTTCAAATGGTGGCGCTCAGCAGGACCTGATCAACAACAAGGAAAGCTACCGCAAATGCATTAGTTTCAAGTTTTATTTTTCTTGTCAGTGAAATACATAGCCTCTTCTCAAGAAGCAGCATCTGTAAAGCTGTTACAAACACATTTTGTACTCTAATACACCACAGATTTGGAAGAAGAACAAATGTAGCAAAGGTTTCACACTGTACTTGGGCATACTGAGTCTAAGTTACAGATAATTTAGAAATCTTCTGGTTTTACATATACATTGCATTGGCCATTGCTCAGCCTTCATGCACAATCTAATTTTATTTTTCTTACAGTCAACACTGATTTTGGAAACTTTCTTGCAAATGGTATCTTTTCCATTTTAAATCACTTGAATGATATTTACATAAGTGTGCAAAGTGCTTTGAAAGATAGAAACAGACAGTAACACACACAGACAGCTTCTATAGTTAAACATTTACTAAAAGGCAGTTAACATTCCTATCACACTTCCATTGCCTAAAATAGGAGAATAAAGTTATATAAAATAGACCATCTTATTTTCAGACACTTTCATTTCTGCAGATTTGGTCTTTGCAGCAACATTGCAATCAAAGATTAAGATTCTACTCCTAAAATTCAGAGAAGCCTCTTTCAAATCAATGGTAGCTTAACATGTTTAGTACAAGTTACTTTTGTCCCAGATTTTCCACACTTGGCACAGGGAAAAAGAGAAAAAATCTGGGGGAGTGGGAACACAGTCTTGCACATCTATTTTAATTTTTGGCAATATGAAAAACGTACTTTAAGAATCTAATGCATAAACTTTAACTTTTCTTTTAAGGGCCTGTTAGTGTTACAAGCACAGTTTAATTAAAGTCTGCAAGTTCTTTCACAGAAGCACACAAGGCTCCCTATTTTTGTTCTTATGCGTGTCATCTTCTCAGATATATACAACTGTTCATATACAGAAAAATGTAGACTCCTTGGGACCATTCAACAAAACCAATGTCAGAATTGGAAGCAGCAGGAAAAGCTTGATGAAGATTACTTAGTGTTCCCAGTGCTCCTACATGTACGTTTTTTTCCTACTTGTGATAGACTCCCCATAAAAAGTGCATAGTCACCTTCATGAACAGATCCAGAAGGCAGAAGTTGCATAAACTTGAGTGAATTGCTCCAATGGTGAAAAAAAAAGACAAGTTACAGGAAAGTCTTCAAAACCATCTTTCATGTATACTTGTAATCAGAGAAAAGCAACTCAATTCCCCAAATTTCAGTCAGACTATTTTATAGAAGAGCAAAACCTTCTATATACATCATTAATAAAAAAAGGGAAATTACCTGTCAGACAGTAAAGAACTACAGGTGTAGTCTCAAACAGCTTTAAAATCCAAGCTGATTAATACATACTACAAAGAGACAAAACTGCTTTTTGAACACCCATTAAATTGAATAACGTGACTTTCACAGCAGCCTTGCCTACAAATCATGCTGCAGCTTGTGCACCCGTCACAACTCTACTGAGCACTATTCACCCCAAGGAAAGTGAGTATTAGCTATCTGAAAGTTTATCTTCATCACAGTTATGTCTGACACTGATGTCAGACATCACATATATGTCAGACATATGCTTGATATTTTTGAAGCCATCCAATTCCTTAATATGGCAGAAACTATCAACACTTAACACTGTGCTTTTTGGTCTTAGCGAACTTCGGGTATCCCCTATCGCACACAAATCCCTGCTGGATTCCAAGTGATCTCACCCTAGTGCAGATCATGATTAGGTTCTTCGGAAGAAATAGTCCACATGTACAACTTCCAGTGTTGTCAACTTTTAAGCATAAAATGGTCAAACAAATTTAAGTCACTACAGAAGCTTGCAAAACACATGATGACTTCAAATAAAAATAGTGAAGATGCATTAAAATTTGGTTACTTTGGATTCTGAGCTCGTTTGAAAGTGTCATTTGAAAGAGAAAGCTGTTTTATGCTTTGAAAATAGCAAAGAATGAAATGTCTTCGTGGACTAGCGTATCGAATAGTAAATAAACATCTAGAACACTCATGAACTCACACATATAATTGAAGCAGTCTGCCTAAGTTTTGGTTAAATGTTGTCTTCAGAGCTTTACATTCAATGCACATTATCTGCTACCTTCAGTCACTGTTTTGGTTATGGCATGCTTCAGAAACACCATTGAGGTTGTCCACCCCTTCCATTCCTAAGGTATACATTACAAACATTATGCACACATTTATCTCAAAAAACTTCAGGCCAATAAAGTTCTTAAGATGAAAGATGTGTGCGTATTTTTAAGCCTGCAAGATAGCTTCAAACTAGTTGACTTAGTATTTTCCACACCCACATGGATACTGCTCGCAAAGAGTAAGGTATTAAAATAATACTCTGCAGTGGAGTAAAAACATGTTGATAATAAATGGAATGCTCCCCCTACTGTCTATACTAGTGAAAAATCCTGCCTGGCACAGTGCCTTAAATGGTGTTAAACAGGAAATAAATAGCCAGATGAATAATCGTATATTGAACTCAGAAAACAATTACAAACATATTATTAGGACCAAAAAGCATCAGCTATTGAAAATTTTGTACCACTCTCCCTACTCCAGTGCTTCTGGGGTTTTGATTTCTTTTAAACTGTGCTTTTAATAAAAATTTCTCTCAAATTTTTCCCCATCAACTGAAGGCAGGGCCCTGAGGACGCTCCTACCAGTTAATATTAGCATTCCCATATCACAATTGCAATGAAGCTCTGGTAAATCTGGTACCTTTGGATACGCTTAACATCACAAATAAGTCAGATATTTAAGACAACCTATATCTGCAGCTAGCATAATCCACCAGAATATTCATCCTCTTCCTCATCAGCATGAGACCCCACTGCAGCCGGTCCTCTTGCTTTGTCTTGTGCAGCGTTTGGGGATTTCTTCTTGATTCCACCTCCTGGGACCACCAGGGTGAGACCAAGCTTGGCATACTGACAATAACAAAGCAAGTTTAATTTCTGTACTATCACAGAAGTAAAATCTTTTTTAATTGCACTGCATAGAATTGACTAATGTTGACAACAAACAAGCAGGTAACATTCAGTACAGAAACAGATTGATGCTGCTTTCAGAGTATATTCTTCTATCTTAGAATAAGTCTAACATTGGTTCATTTTTTCTGTCGCAAACACTCTCAGAATGGGATGCAAGATCTGTGTTGATACTGCTTATTATAGAGTAATTTGGCCACATCCTACAGCTTCTGTGGTTGAAACTTTACATACAAAAAATATCTTTTCAGTATGCAGCTTTGTATATGTTATCTAGTAATAGCTCAAGTAAAAAGTCTTACCAGTGTTTTTCAGTAAGACTAGTACCTTAATTTTTACTAATCAACATATTAAAAAAGTAAAATCGGTCAATACTCTTACTAAGTTTGACATAAAGGATGTCTCTTTTATTTTAGATTTCCTATCCTTCTACTTCCTACAATTTACAAGTATAACTTAAAAAAATCATAAATGGAAGGGGGAGGGGACACACGTGACACATAAGTACTTTCTTAAAATTAAAAAAAAAATCTCCCACTAATTAGTACGTTGCTAAGGAATAAGCGCTAAAAAAATAAAATTCAAAAATGCCATCCCATAGGCATCATATTCTGTAATGTTTATGCACTCATATCAGCTCTATGGTATTTCTGAGATAAAGCGTAAGCAGCAAACCGTTCTGGCCCCTAAGGAATTAAGCAGAAGGGAACTGAATTTTGGTCAACTTGTCAAACTCAGCAAATTCATAAAAAACTGCTCTTTCACCTAAGCCTTCCTATCATCTGAAAGGAACAATGACATGGGAGTTTACATTGGCAAGCAGCAAAGTAAAAGAACACATAAAGTTCACAGGCACAGGGTACGATAACAGAGCAAGACACAATAAATATGTGGACCCTGCTCTTTGTATTTTCCTCTACTAGAAAAAAGTATCTCAACCTGAACAAACAAAAGGATAAGAAAAAAAAAATCCATTAAGCACTGCCTACTTACATCATTGTCCATGTATTTGAAGAGTGGCAAATTACAAACTTCAGAAACTTGATCCTGATCTTGCTGGTCATACCCTTCTAAAAGCTGCTCTAGTGCTGCGCAATCTTCACTTCCATTAAATCCTGGTATACTGAAGGAAATTCAGAGGTCATTTAGGGCATTTCAGTAATCTACTTGACACTCAGCTATTCTATCTTTAAATGCTGCTGATTAGTAGCAGAAGAGCAAGCAGCTTTTAAGAATCTGATGGACTGCTTATTCCACAAAGCTACCTATAACCACTTTCATTTCTCCAGGTACGTGGATCATCTCCATAAAATTAAAGTTTCAGCAACATTACTTTGCATGCTGAGAATAAGACCACAATCATAGTCAAGACAAAAGGAATATCAGAATTTTTCAATTTTTCCTGACTAGTCAATAAACTCTTCCTCCACTTTACATACAGAAAAATTCTGTAATGAGTTTCTATACGTAAAATACAAACTGAAGAACTGGAAAATATGAGCAAGATGTTTAAAGGCTGATCTTGAAAAATTCTCTCTAAAGTACAACTTAACTTACACATATGTTCAAGTCATTTCTCTAAAACACAGTTTAAGTAAAAATATGTTGTTTCAGTATTTTGTTACTGAAGTCCTAATGAAAGCTGAAATGTAGAGTTGCTGGGAAAGCCTCTGGAATGTCAGTTAAACACTAATCCAGATTTTGACACCAGACTTTTCTCCTGCATATGTAAAGAATGCCCTCTTCATTTCAATGTATTCAACTGGACTACTTTCTGCTTCCTAAATTATCTCTCTAGAAATCTTGCTTTTCTTCTTCCAATGTATGACAAGGGTAAGATCTCCTAGATCAACATAGCCAGAAATGTAGTAATTCACAGGCTGCAAAATTTTCTTTAACAAAAACATTTAGATTTTTTTTCCCTCAATCTAATCACCATACCGGATAGTTTAATTGATTATACTGGGATGCTGCTATTGTGCATTTTAAGACTGTATTCTGTACTTCCATCCTCAAACTATAATAAAATATGGTAGCAACAAGTAGAATTTCAACTTTTTAAGGGCCTCCACACATGACATGGTAAAAAGATTCTGAAAAAATTAAAATTCAGTTAGCAACATCCAGAAATACCCACTTTTAATCCTAAATACTTGTTTACAATGTCTCATCCATCTCTGTTCCATTTGAAAAAGACACAACCCAAAGAATATCAGTAAGACAAGAATCCCAGTCATAACAGTATTCTGCTCAGCTTTTAACAAAAAAAAAAAAAAAAGGGAAGAACCTCTAATTTCCATCTAATTTCACCTGTTGTACATAACTACTTCTTTATGACTAACCTTTTATTTCAAGTTCATTAAGAAGAATCATCATGCTAATTAAAGCTAAATCTGTTAAGAATGAAAAAAATTCCTGGTAGCTATGTAATAGGGAATGTACTGTAAAATCAACAGAAGTACAGGCTTAAAATTTCATGACAGACAGTGTTTCCTCTGCTCTTTCATAAGAATAGATCTACGTTATTGTAATTGTCAGTTTAAAATTATAGGACATAAAGTAGACTTACCTATAGCTTTCCCTCACACATCTTTCTGCAGCAACATAATCATTTCTATGAAGATGAACTAAGACTTGAGCAATAGTTTTCTAAAGAAAAAAAAAAAACAAAAAAACAAAAACCAAAACCTGACAATTCTTTATAAATTAACAGTAAAATATGAGAAAAAACACTGGATTGCTAATATTTAGCATGAAAAAGGTCATTACGATTGGCAATAAGTCTAAAATACTGACACAAAGTCAGAACAATTATAGTGAAAAAACAGTAAGCCACATCCTCAGCTGGTATGAAACAGATTGTCTCCTATAACATTGAAATGAACTGTTGCACCAAGTAACAGCATTTGTGGTTTGTTGTTTTTGATAATATCTTTATCTTTGATGTGCTTATTGCTTTTGACAGCTTCTGTAGATAACAGCGTCTTATCTTCAACTTCATAGTAGTGAAAAAAACAGTTAGAAGTTGGGAAAACAAGCACAACCACAAATTCTCATCATTTAGCAAAAAATGTATCCCTGAACCTAGAGATACATATTGTCAGTCAGATGTCAGTTGTTATTAGTTACCCCAAAAAACCTGAAATGAGCTATCAGAAACCGTCTCTTAGAATTTACCTTATAGCATGTTGGGTAATTTTCAATTTCCTTATAAATACTTTTTTCCTTTTGAAGAGACAATGCAGCCTCATCTAATCTAAAAAAAAAAAAACAACAAAAAAAAAGTTAGGAGTATCAGTGCCAGGAATAAAGCATAATGAATCCGAGGCTAATTACAAAGTGTTTACTGGCAAGTCAACGGGAATAAAAAGCAACACAAGTAAAAATCAGCAGTAGATCTTACTAACAGAGTAGCTAAAGAAATATATAATCAGCAATTCCTTTTGTATACCTGCAGACTAAGAACATCTCTACTATTCATTCAGATAAACCTAATTTTTCATCATATTGTACAAGATGAATGCCTTGTTACATAGCTTAACACATTTCTGTATGTCATGAGGCTACTATAAGCTACTGTATCAGTCTGATATCCATGAGCTATCAATACGAAGTCATAGTAACTGGTCTTGAGTTTGAATATTCTTTATATTCTTTTAATCATTACATGAAACTTCTAGAAATTAGCAATAGCACATGAGCTACAAAGCAGCAGAGCAACCAAGTCTTCCAGATGTTCTCAAGCTACGTTGATTTGCTTTCATAGACTTTCAAGTTACTTTGTAAATTTTATTTTCTGACTACAACTGCAGTGAAATAGTGTCTTAAAATTAGACTTAGAAACCCAGACAATTTCTTAAAGGATCTACCTGTTTCAGTGAAGCAAGTCTAAGCTGAACTGCAGCTCAAGTTTAGTGTTAGCAATTAACAAAATAAATTCCCACTGAGACTCCAAGATACACTCTTCTTTAAGAAGTTGAGAATTAGACTGCTGCCAACAGATTTCTTTCGTCAGGTTAGTCAGCTAATCCCCCTCCTTTACATTCCATAGCTATGAAAGATTTTCAAATACTTTCTACATATTAGTGCAGGAAGAAAACAAAACAAAACAAAAAAACCCCAGAAAGTTCCTGAAGTAGTTTAAGAATTAATGAAAACTGGTGTATGTGCTTTCTAGCTATTCAACAAACATAAAGGAAACAAAGCCTTAAAGCCCACGTTCTCCCATCCTAGAACACAAAGCAGGTGGCTCCTGGATGAATATGGCATATCCCACAGAAACCGAGTATTAGTTTGAAGTGCGACTCAAAGAAGAATTAAGTAATAGCATATAAACCCAACAACAGTAAGGAGAAAAATAAAATAATTAAAAAAAAAGTCACTATTAAAGATTCAGTTACATTTAAAAAAACAAAGGCATAAACCTATACCTGCGTCCTCTGACTAGAAGTCTTGATGCCTTCCCTAGCATTTCTAATGCTTGCCGTAAACGTTCTTCATTCTAGAGAATAACAAAAAGAAATCACACATTCCTACTTCATTTGCCCAGAATTAAGACCACTAGGCCTTAAGATTAAGTACGTCATCTGTAACTCAAAACAACTGTTAATGATTGTATCAGCAGTTCATATGCTCAAGGGAAACCTGAAGAGTATTGGTGTATCCAAGTCCCACAGCCAGCTGCCGTACAGATCTACAGAACAAAGTAACATCAACGCAAACGTGCTTATCTAGGAACACGTGACAACTGATGATATAGAAATACACCAAAGTTGGCAGCAAAAAGGTAAATAATCTGCTCATGGGGTGGGTAGACCATCAGGCAAATCCTTTTGTGCCTTCAAGGATTTCAAACTATTTTAGGCTCCAGGACTTAACAGCAGCCATGTTCCCTACTCTCTGGGCTGCACAAGAGGCAGAAAACTTGACAATGTATGAAATTCAGATTCAGTCGGGTCCCAAACTGAGAAAAAGGCGAAGCAAACTGACTCCTAACTTTTATAATCTCCTTCTCCACAGCATAAGAAGCCTTCAGCTTCATTACTCAGCCACTGATATGAAAGGAAGGAAAATTAATTTAGAATTTAGGTTTTTTCTTAACTTTATAGCTGACCCCAAACACCAACTCGTTCATCTTCGTATAATTTCTAGGACTGAAAATGTCTTTGCTGGTGGGGTTGGAGGGGAAGAAAAAGAAAAAAAAAACAAAAAAACAAAAACAAACAAAAAAACCCCACCAAAAAAAACCAAACAAACAAAAATAAAAACACAAACAACAAAAAAAACCCCACAGCCTAAAAAACACCAACTTACCTCAAACACTGACGCTGCTTGCTGATAGAGCTGCACAGCTTTCTCTGGGCTCACATTTTCTATTAATCTGTAATAAACATAAATAATTTCTCTTCAGATGAAATAAAGTATTTTTCACCTAAAAGCATCAAAAAGACAAGAAAGAAAACCAAAGACGTACCCATGCCCTGCATGCATTCACCCACCAATACCACAGACTTACTTTCCAGCCCGTTCCAGTGCAATAGCTGCTGTATCTGGTGTCCCATTCTCCAGGTACATCATACTGGCTTTCTCGATCAGCTGAACTGCCTCAGGGAGTCTCTGCATCTCCTGCAAAGCAACAGTCAGAGGGATGTTGCTGTCAGGAATTGCGCTTATGTACAATGAAACAAATCAAAGCAAACTGTAATACCTCATTTATTTAGATTCTAATTTTTGTTTACAAACTTGTGGAGCTAGTGAGAGTTGACCACCAATTCCATTCCACGGAATTCACTTTAAGTACCACACTTTCTTGTTAAGGCATGAATTTTTTTTAGAGCAGAAGCAGCACCGCTCTTCTGTTACCCTCTGACATGAGGCCCTCACCTTTCCTTCTACAAAAGGAAAACTGTTTTTTCCCTGCAATTACAAATGTCACTTCCCTAACCTACTGAGGGTATTGGTGGGGACTATAAGTCAGTGGAAAAATATCACTTCAATAAGCAATTTGCTTACATATATTTGTAAAGTGGTCGAGTGCACAGTATTCTTCACTACAAAATAGAACTTTTTATTAAAAGCTAGTAAACAAAAGTACCTTTAGCATCATGCCAGCTTGTTCATAAGCTCTGCAGAGAATAAAATTACAATTTAGTTAGATAGAGTGTATTTCAGCAAGCTGTATTTACGCAGCAAAAGTTAACATGCATTAGCTATCACTTAATATTTAATGCTTTGAAGACGTTTCAAGCGTTTCACTTAATGAGACAAAGCATGTGTACCATTATCTTCCACAAATTAAGTATTTCAACTACAGACACCACTGAAAATCTGTTTTCATGATCTGACCTAGGGCAATATGTGGATTATTTATCATGATCTGCTTGTTCTAAAGTACTCTTTAATAAAAAACATCTTTATAAGCTTAACATGAATTTACACGAATAAGCTCAACATGAACTATAATGTGTAGAATTTCAAAATTACAAAAAGTTCATATAAGAAAACATACTTGATATCAAAAGGTGCTGAAGAATGTCAAAATCGTAATTTCTCCAGATGGTCATTGCAGGTTTTCAGACTTTGCTAGCCAGCACTTCCATTAAACTGATTTTGAAACAGCAAAATCACTTGAACCATACCATTTACTACAGTGAGATCAAAATGATAGTTCATGCTTGTACCATATGTTAGAAAATTTGTTTCAGATTACTCAGTGCTTCTGTACTTACTTGGCAGCATGGAAGAGACTGGAAGTAACATTGTGCAAGTCAAGGACAAAAGCCACAAAAATATAATGCAGAAAAATTACTGATGTACAACATCTTACACAAGTACTAGCTTCAAAGCAAGGAATCCCATAAATACAAATTGAACCTACTACATTTGCAAGCAAGGCGTCAATAAGTGCTTCTAAGAACAGAATAAATGCAACATACCAAAGTATAACAGCATGTAAAGTTGTAAAAAGCACATTTATTTAAAATACGTTCGTGGTTACTAACTACTACTACTACAAGTACTGTAATAATGTCAGAGTTGCATTTAGTTTATATTATCCATTTGTAGGCATTTTAGAAAAATATAATAATTTCTGAAACAGTACCTTGACATCTCAGACACTGGTCAGCCCCCTATCAGTCCAGACGTTATTGGAAACAACACAGATTTGCTAACCAAAAGAGTTCTTTAGTTTTCCTACTCAGAGCACACAGAAAGTCTTTTAAAAGACAATTTTGTTAGATTGACAAAATGCACAAAAATACTAAATGCATCTTCTACTAACCCCCCATTACCCCATTCTACGTAGCAACTAGTCAGCTTCTTGGGGAAAAAAGAACAATGAAAATCAATGAAAAAAGATACGCTTTATTGTTTTCATGGGCCTCAGCTTCCCGTAAACAGGCTTCCCGTGCCTGGTCAAACTGCTTGGCATTCTTAAAAGCAACAGCTGAAAGAAATAAAATAAAGTTCTTAGTTACAGCTTGACATTTTCCTTTTTCCACCACTCCTGCTCAAGAATTTAGCCACCTAAAGATACAAACAGATTCTTTAAATGAATAGTTACAGTTTACCAAGATCTTCCAAAAAATCCCATAACAGGCCTCTCCGCTTCATTCAGTTATCATTAAAAACACTTACTGTCAACACTTCCATACCACATATTGTGCATAATATGCTGAGCTGGATTTTGGAACTAACTCATTTTGTATTTCAATTACAGAGCTGCAGGAATGCATGTGCATAGAAGTTATACAAAATCAGTATGACAAGAATAGAAGTGTACCATCAACAAAGTATACCTGTAACAACTTCCTTGACACAACCACTACAAGGCACAAATGCGTATTTCTATCTCCATTAGACTGACAGGATATTAAAGGAGGATTTAAAATAAATTTCACTTTATAAATGCTCCAGTTGCTCTTCCGCGTTTGTTTTTTTTTTTCTTCAGGCTTAAATGAATGAGTAGGAATGCCTAGCATAAGAAGTCAAAAATCCACATTAAATTACTGAGAGCAAAAAGGAATCAGCTAGTAAGAATTTTATATTGTGTGACACTTGCAGTGGAAAAAAAGGCGGAAAGAGATCTTACTATGCCTAGCAAACACCTGGCAGCATCCCTCTATCTTAGTGAGACAATCTTTATCAGGACATACTTCATAAGATGATGAAAAAGCAAAGTTTTAAAACCAACTTGAAGATTTGTTGCTCTGTATGTAGTCATAGGATTTAGGGGTGGACAAGTGAAAGAATAAAAGCTTTGTTTTTATCATATGCAATAATATACAAAGTAGAAGTTGTAAGCCTGAAAAAAAAAACCAAAACAAAACACAAAACTGTTCTGACAACTGTTCTAGATCTCCAAGTACAATCTGAATTTTATTTTACAGTGCTACGAAGAGTACTTTTTTTGTGGTTTCAGCTTACTTTGTCTTCACAACAGTTATTCTTACAGAGCAATGTACTGAAAACATGTAAAATGTAAATAGAATCAGGGCTTCAGCCTAAGGAATACTTTGAAACCATAAAGTATATGCCCATATTTACAGCCATACATACCTGCCTTCCCATATTCCGTAGCTGCACTGTCATAATCTGGTTTCCACTTTAAGAATCCAGTTTTCAGACTAAAATGCAAGAGAGGCCTATTAACAATAAAGATTGTATGGTTTACCTTCAAACAGGTATATTTAAACTTTAGACTACATCTGAAAAGGAGTAATTGCATTGTTAGGAACTGCACAAAGCACCGCAACGATCTCCCACAGTTACATGCCTCACCCTAACATGCCTCTACTGTCCCCAGAGTCTTTACAAGTCCAGCTTCTCAACAGTAAGAAGTCAACAGAAGATACTTTCACCTACACCAACACGTTATCTCGATATTTTTAATACCACAACACCTGATGGTATTTTTTTATTACACATCACAAAGTTTCCAGCGTTCCTGCACAGCAAGCTTTTGCTGCTGAGAATCAAAGACTCTCCACTGCATATACAAATGAAAGAATTTACTTAGCAACAAAAAGACAAAGCCTCATATGTCAGTTATACATCTACAATAGATTATGACACTAAATGGTGCCACACACAAAGATATATATAGGAAAAAATATACATTGCAAAAGAAGGTGAGCCATCAGGCAATGTGCATTTCAGTATTATGACTTCCTCACTTCTAGAACTAATATAAAAATGACCATAACTCTAGAGTCCACTTCCATATTTGTTGTGGGCAGATGCTTCAGATGCAATACATGCTTAATTTGGAAAGTCAGTTGAATATAGACTCTACGTTGACTTTGTTGTCTTACTTGGACAAAAATCACAGTATGTAACTCTAAAGGAAGCCTTTATATTGTGTTATTTTTATCACAGCCAAAGTCTCAAATGCATCAAGCTGGAAGACACAACACTTCAGTTTACACACAATTTGAGATTTAGGTGCCTTTTATTTAAAATGTTTTCCAGGATTAGCTTAAAATTAGTTTCACCAAAAGTCACTTTTGGTCAAGTAATTTGAGTAAAATACTCTGGTACAGATTTTTTTTTTTTATTCTGAGGAGGTCTCTATCACAGTCTATACATTTGATCCATGTCTTCTGAATGGTCTGACATTATTCTTACTAAAATTATAGCATCTTTGGATTGGTCAGCTCTATTACTATATTGTAGTCTGTGAAATTGAGACTCATAAGCAAAATGGCTATACTGAGTGTTAAAATATACATTAAAAGACTACCACATGCAGATGTTAAGCCCTCTAAGCTAAATGTCAGCACAGGTATTTGAGGCCATCTAAAAAGAAACTATCACACATTTCTCCTACGCAGAAAACACACCATGTCAGCAAAGTTAAACTGTTTTATTCACCACAATCCCCACAACTCTTTTCTCCCACTGACTTTAGCAGAAGTGGCTCCCTTTGCTTTCCAGGTAGGGTCAGAGCAACAAAGGCTACATGGCCCTTAAGGAAACTGCTCAGGCTCCAGGCCCCCGAGACATACAGCTTCACCGACACAACTTTTTCGTTTTAGGGCTGCTTTATTCTCCCAGTCTGGGGAGGAAGGGTGCCCTTTAGCACCTCCTGTAGGGAAGGGCCATCGAGGCAGAAATGGAGCCAAGCAGCCATGTCCTCCTACTCCCTCCGCGCCGGCCTCCCGCAGTCCCGCACCTCCCTGCCCTTCCCCCGAGGTCCCGTCACCCGGCACACCGTTCCCCCGGCACACTGGTCCCCCCTCGCCCCCCCGGGGAAGCCATCACCTCCCCACAGGCCGCCCCCTCCCCACGGCTCCGCGCAGGGCATCATGGGAGCTGTAGTTCACCCGATGTGTCCCCCCTCCCAGCGCAGGCGCTAGCAGGAACTACAACTCCCGAGAATATCCCTCCGCCCGCCAAGGCCCAGGGACGAGGAAAGGGCGCCGAGCCGCCGCGGTAAGCCAGAGGACAGCAGCCCCAGGGCTCAGACACTGCGGCGGCAAGCGGCGCGGCCCGCGGAGCCCCGATCGAGCAGGAGGCGATACGCCGCCACCATGGGGCGAGCGGGCCTAGCAGCCCGGGCGCTGAGCTGGCAGCCGCAGCACCCGCTGGCCAGCTTCCCCCACCTGCCGGCCGGCCGGCCGGTCTCCCTCCCTCCCCTCCGCTCACTATTTCTCCGCTTTAGCGATGTGCTCGAGCGCCTCGTTAATCTTCTGCGCCGCCATCCCACCAGCGCGGCGAGCCTGCCCGTGGGCTCTCGCCGCCTCCTACTCTTCTTCTTCTTCTTCTTCCTCCTCCCCACCGCGCTCCCGCTACGGAGCGCCGCAAGGCTCAGGGGGCGCCGAGGGGCGGGGCTCGGCCCGTCGCCTCCTCACCGCGCAGGCGCGGCCGCCGCGGCGGGCCGGGGCTTTTAAAGGCGGAAGATGTCCCGGTCCTTCCCCGGCAGCCTTGTGGGTGCTCTCGCTTGTCAGGGGAGCGGGGTTGCCCTCAGCATCGGGCTCTGTCTCAGTGCGGGGAGCCCGAGGATACCTCCCTTGCAGAAGCCCCTATCTCCGGCCTGTCCGAAGCCAACAGAAGCTTCTTAGAAAATAAGGATGAGTGAGGGCCTCCATTTCCTAAGGTTTTTCAAGTGGGGATCAGTCTTTGATAGAAACACGCAGCTTATGGGCCAAAGGCTGAAAAGCGCTGATTGCCCTGCTCTGAAAGAAGCCTCCAAAAGGCCTTTTTGCTGAGGCATACTTGTCTGGCTTGCTTGGTATTTGTAAAAACCAGAGGCTGCCTCCACTCTGGCTGGCACAGAAATCTAAAGTAGGAGGCATGAGTGGTGGTTAAGCACACTGGAGGTGCTAACACAGGCCACACAATCATGTATGATACCCAAAACTCAATAACTGAATTGAAAATGCCAAAGTCTGTGTTATTTGCCATACGCCCAGTTTTCCTAACACCTTATTTTTGTTAATCTGAAACATCCTTTAGTAACAGAAGATCAGTGATTAAGCCCAGGAAGTTTATTCTCCAGACTTGGACATCATTACTGCCTTCTGGTAATCTGAATAAGAAAAGTAGTTATCAATACAGGTGAAAGAAAGTGAGAATCTGGTTAAACTTGCAAAATTCTTATCAGACCATAGGAGTCATTGAAAGTCCATACTGTTTACAGGAATCAGAGCTTTGAGATTGTTTCTATCTTAAATGGTAAAAAGAAGCAATATTTCCATTATTTGTTTTGTTCTAAGTAGGCATCAGACTTGCAGGTCTGAATTGCTCTCCCTTTTACTTTTCCCACATTCCTTTGATGACATGGAAACTTAATTTTCCAACTTTGGTTCTTGCACTGCACTTGAGAGGCTATCATCTCTTGCAGATGGTGGAAAATCCCCACTAAATCTTACATACCATTATTCTGTATCTAGAACAAAGTAAGAAAAAAAGCTGTACAGAGGTTTTATTTTTCTGCTTTCAAAAGCAAATGAGTGGTCATGGGAGTACTGGGAGAAAATAGCTAATACATAACACAAAAGGTTTCTAGCAAGTGCTCACTGGTAGCAGGTAAAAAAGAGAGGAAGCTATGACTGGAGAGATTCCTGTGTCACCACATCTGTATTTTCTTTCCCTTGCTGTGGCAGCCAGGATGGATCTGGCCATGTAACTATGACCTTGCTGCAGTGCCTTTCAAATAAACTTGCATTAGCTGGGAAAATGAAAACATAGAACTTTGGCATTAAAGGACAGAATAATCTCAGGGTGTTCTTCTGAATCACCCAGTTAATGACTTACTGTTTGTGTGTTTGTGCTAGTTCTTCTGGCCTGCTGTGTTCCCTGGGTTATAAATAGTTCATTTTCTAGTGAAACTACACATGTGCACTGTCTGGTTACACTTTGTACTGGAATGACTAGATGAAATATTTCCAAGACTAGTATTAAATGAAATAGAATATTCCTGGGTAGCTTTTGTAGACATGGAACCTCCAGAGATTTTACATCTGGGAAGGATCATATCACAGCATCTGGTGCTTGGCTGTGAATTAGAATTTGGTGTTGAAAAATTACTAGGTACAATATGAAAAAAATTTACAGTGCTAGCAGTTGGAGCAACAAACTTTTTAAAGTATAATCATACAGGTTTTGTTTACTAGGCATATGTGAACTCCGCAAACAGCTGTAGCAGTAGAAGCCATTGATCATTATGCTGTCCTCAGCTGCCTAGCACTACACCTTCCAGAAGGTTTCTGTGTCCTATCTAAGCATTTCTTCATGTACACCATTGCAACCAAAGGCATCAGGTTATCAAAAATGAGCTGCATAAGCTGATACAGCACATTTTGTCTGAAATGGGTTAAAAAGCACTGGTGTGAGGCTTCATGGGGCTAACCTCTGGCAAGAGTCTGGAGGCAGGCAGATGGGGACACCATTATGGCTGGGACTACCCACAGCCCTGCAATAAGGACAGCCCAGGCTTCCTTCAGAGAGCTGTTGTTAGTTGTAATAGACTATCAGTATGACCATAGTTAGATTTGTTTCCCAGTTAGCTCCAACTTTTCTTTGCTGTGAATATGTCATGTTCTTGTTCAGAAAGTTAGGACTGACCGCAGTGAGTTGTATTTTAAATCAGCTGCTGAATCCTATCTGCTACTCAACTGGATCTGGAAGGTGAATTTAAGTTTTCCTATATCTGGATTTCCCAGCTCTGTCTGATACCCTTTTTTGGCAGCAGGACATGGAAAGCTCCACCTTGTAATTTATTAGTGTCTGAGTTGGAGTCATAACTACAATAACAACAGCTACACCATCACGCTGACGAAATTACCTGTGAGGAAGGGAGAGGGATCTGCATATTCCTTCTCCCAGGCAGACTGCTACGAACACTAATGGTCTAATGAACAACTGATTCCGACACATTTTGGGCCTGTTATATATACAAAAATACGTTCTGAAATCACTCCATTCCAGTGCCAGCATCTCAGTGCTCCAGTATATTTTCTCTTCCTGTCTTCAGCATTAAATCCATATAATTCATTTGGCTGTGAGACATTACTAGTTTCTGTCTTAATGGATATGGCAGAAAGCAAACAAATAACTCTGAAGGCAGCAAAATTAATAAAGCCTGCTCTTCTGTAGATTTGTGTCTCCCTGTTGATTGACTTTAATTAAATAGCAGAAGACTACAGTGTGAGCCTGCCTTTTATTAGATGTCAGAGAATAAAGAGAGAGACATTATAAGTATCCCAACTAGGGGAAGGAGGTAATGTCTAATTGGCTTTCCAGATGAATTGGACATTAGAGAAGAGGAGGGTATTCCAATGTCTACTAAGGTGTTCCAATGAAAAACATTCATAGTGTCTTCCCCACTGAAGATTTATTGAACACGTAATTTACATGTTCTGTTTCCAGGTTAAGTAAGGTGCCCTGTCCACGTAGGTAAGGAAGGTTGATTTTATCGGTGGGTAAGATGTCATATCACTATTACCAAGTCCCTTTTAGTCCATGTCTACTATGCCTTCTGCCTCCCTTACTTCTGACAAGATTCCATTTCCCTAGATCACAACAACCCACAAATGTAATTTATTTACAGTCAATTTCATTTTATGCACTAGTTTGCACATGACTCAAAGATATGTGCAATATCTACAGATGTGAATAAAGCCCTCATGGACAAGAGTTGAGCCACCTTTTCCTGTTGTGTTTTTGAGAACTCAAGGTCAGATAAAAGTCTGAGATTGCCACCATACCACTTCCCACATGCTCCAGTGGGGAATTTGACAAACTGTCAGCATTTGTCACCTCCTGGAGTTGGTCCCTAAGGCATTGATACTTGCTCACCATCTCAGCCACTGCATCAGCAATTGATGATAATTTGCTTTCGTATCTGATGATTATATCCACCACCAGTGCCTGACCACCCTTAGCAAGTATTAGATCAGGCTTGTAGAGCTTGTTTTGGTGGTAGTCTCGTAGGGAGTGGCTCATGAAACACTAGCCAATCCTTCTGAGCTTCCTCTGTCAGTACATCATGCAGTTGGTCATGTCTTTTGATCCTAGCTTCCCAAACTGATGGGCAATACCCAGTAATAGGTATGCAAGCCTCACTCAGCTTGACAGTGCTGGCAGATACTGAGTTTTCTGTCTACCCCATGCTAGAAATTCCCCTATGGGGTAGACATTAGCTCTTAATTGTAAGGCAGTAATGAGCTTCCTGTGGGGCATACCCCTGTAAGATTCAATGCAGTTGTTAACTAATTCTGTCTTTTGGAGAGTTGGCAATTCCGCAGCCCTGACATGACAACCTGGTCCAATTCAAAAATTCTTCTTTTGACCAGTTACTAGGTCTCAGAAAGATGACCTTTGAAGCAGAAATCTCCCATTCTGAGACAGGGCCTTACTGCAAACCACTTCTAGAATCACCACAACTGCTTCTGGGTCCCAAATTGATGGGACTCACTTCCCTTCCTCCCACAGCAATACTCAACTTTCTAAATTATTTTGCAATACCTTCTGTCACATTTTCAAGCGGCAGCCACACCAGCCGCTGTCCCCTCTGTGAATTGTTTCTAAGGATCCCGCAGGAACAAAGTCCAGCCAACACTGGTCGAGTGCCAGAACAAACACTTTATTTGCCCCAGAAACAATGGAAACAATGCTCTCACCCAGCAATAGTTATTAGGTTTCCTTCATAAAGTTGAGGAGAGGAAAGGAAGAGAAGGGAGGAAAGTTGGAGAAGAGGGTAAGAGTTGAAGACAGAGTAAGAGTATAGTCACCACCTAAAGTCTGTGGCATCCCAGCAGTCTTCCTTGTGTCCAGTGGTAGTCCAGCCCTATGCAGCAAAATGACGTAGCCTCAGGTCCACCTTCATACTCAGTTTCTTGCTGCATCACTCATCCGAGCCAGTCAGTGTCTGAGCAGGAGAAAGAGCACTGATCTGTCAGGGCCTTCCTTGTTCTGTATCCAAGGCAGAGCAGACAGTACAAGTGCAGCCAGCAGGACGTGGAGAAAACTGTATCACGTCAATCCTCTCCTCCAAGCAGCAAACAGTTTTTGTTTAGGAAACTTGAACTGTCTTTGGGCTGTTTGAGACAATGGTCCCCAAGGCTCCATTTTTCACACATTCTTTATGAACTACTGATTTCTCACTGTCACCAGAAAGATGGGCAGTTCGGTGCAGCTGACAGGCCTGCATGTTTGGGATTAATCGTGTGAGTCCGATAATATCCAGGTCTCCATTGTGTGTGCTGAAGTAAAAAACGATGTCACAAGTACAGGCAGGTAAATGTAACCATACCTTGACAGCAGACTGAATGGCCAAGTCAAGGGCTTGGAGGTACTTAGCTTTCACATTGGTGTAGTCAGTTAGATAAATC